TTATCAATTATTGGGTACCTACAAAAGTTTAGTTTCAAATTAAATTGCGTCGTATAGTTCTGGGTCATTATTTAATTTATATTGTTATTATAAAAGTGCAGAGTTGAGAAGTATTGTGATATTTTAATATATAAAAAAACACAGAAAATCTAGAATACTAGTGAAATATTAAACGAAATTGAACTGAGATAAAAAGAACGTTTTAGAGCATTCTATTGATTTAGTATAACTTGACAAACAACAAGTGTTATTCCAATTTGAACTACAAAATACTATAAAACAATTAATATTGATATGACAATTAATATGATGAAACAAATCCATTGTTTCACGTGTAAAATAAAGTTCATTTCACATTGCATCGTATATTCCAGGTACGGTATCAAGTATCTGTGGAAATAATATAATTTCTGGCAGATATACAATGAGACAGTTTTTCAATAGCCTCTGAAACTGAACCTAATATGCTGTTACTTGAAAACGATTATAAATTCTAGTATTATTAATAATAAAATATATGAACAATGTCTATTATTATTATATCTATGTCCATCTCATATATCCCTTGATTCTGCTTAAGAAAATAGATAGATATAGATTCACAGATTAGCAATTAATAACAAGACAGTTTCATATATTGTACGTTTGATTAAATAAATCTAGAATAATTGAATAGACGCTATGGAAAGACGAAGAATAATAATAAATTAGAAGAACTATTGTATAGTATAAATATAAAATGATAAATTATAATTTATATTAGATAGATACGGTTATCTAATGAAAGGCAAAAGAAGAGCCAAGATAAAAGCGCTGAGCCAACTCCGGCAAAGAAGACCAGGGTTCAAAACCCTCTTTTCAATCTATATTCTAACACACATTTTTTTGTTTTTTTTTTTATATTTAATTACAAAAACACCGAACTTATTACTAGTAGAAGTATATAACCTCATTTTATAAACTATGGCAACATGTTATGTTCATTTTTAATTATACACATGGGTACTATAATTAAGTATATACATAATAGGTACAGTAACATGCAGTAATATTTTGTAATTAGATGTGTTGGGTTGTTATTAAATTCATTCCTTTTTAGGTAACAGAATGGCTACTAAACGGACGGCCCACGTCATGTTAAGTGGTAACCATCGCCAGTGTACATGAACTGCACTCCGTATATCATGTTATCACGTTATCATGTGACGCCTGTGATACCACTCATACGTGCCATTCAGAAGTACTAAGTTGTCATGGTTCCATATTTTAATCGATGTTAAATAATACGTAAAATTCAATAACATCAACCCACTGTATATGTTAGTTAATTAATTGTACATAAACCTAACATTTTCAAGTGACAGCAAAACTATCATCGTCTAATTGTTCGAAAACAAAATACTAGTCATATCACTTCGTTGACGAGTGTCATCTTGTGACATACTCATGGAATCAATATGTACTCCGTAAGCAGTACATATTGCCTCTATGGGAAAATTACTAATTATATTTTCACTGGGCGAATTTATTACCCTTCAGAGATCTATTGAATAAGACTTAATTCTAATAGCGGGTATGGTTTATCTAACCCTAAATTAATAGACATAATTATAAAAAGACATTTCCAAAAGGTAATAAATTTGCACAGTGAAATTTAAAAGCATTTCTTTAGCATAATATACACTTTAACGGTATCTCGTTATAAAAATATATCTTTATATATTTACATCTACGCAAATATATGAGCATCGTGCACGCACTCTTAAAATTATCTTAAATATAAATTATTATAATATATATAAAAATATAATATTTACTGTACACACTACGTTTCATGTTCATACAAGATATAGATCACTACATTGGATGATAGTGCTGTTTTGTAGGTGTGCCGATGATCAATCCTGGACAAATATATTGTAGAAAATAACAAATACACGCTACAATCAGGGTTGCTAGCTATTCGGAATGTTACCACGTCGTCCGGCATATGTTTACGGCACGGAAATATGTTTTTTTAACTGTATACCCTAAAAAGATTTGATTTTATATAGTCAACAATTTATGTAATCGTATATATCTATGTGTTCGATATTTTATTAAATATACCCGGCAACCCTTGTAGTTTAAAAAAATAATAAATCATTTTTATTGTATTTTTATTAGTGACAGAATTTATGATTTCTTAGCTGAAATGTGTATTCAATAAAATAATTTTATTCTAATTGTCATAAAAAGTAAAAAATGACAGTAGTATAATTTCAATCGCAATTGTGCGACCTGTCTATTTGCGAGGCAAACTGCTAAGCAGTTCTGCGGCTAGATGATTCTATTTAATTTTGTATTAAATTATTTTTCAATAACTAAAAAAAAAAGAAACTGGCTTATATGAAACTTCTATGTGTAAAATATCCCTTGTCTGCCGAAATAGAATCACACACACACTCACAATTACGTCACTACCATATCAATGAATTCGTACTATTACTAATAACGGTTTAAAAAACGAAATAATATAATAAAAAACTTGGTTAAGCTTTCTTTATATCATTTTGTTTTACCGTTAACTTAACACTACTTATTACTATAGTATTAATATACTTATCGTACCACCAGTAGTTAGAATTATTATCGACGAAATAAAAATATTCTGATATTTTAAAGTAAAATAAAAGTCACTGAGTTCAAATTTGTATGTGTAAAAGAGAATTTGCAATAAAAAAAAAGGCCGACGAATGCCAACATAATCTAATTATTGATATTAAACTAATATATTAGAATCTATTTATCCCATATTGTGTATTATTTGTATCACAAATACGCATTGTTAGTACGATGGTCAATAAAAATATAATACTAAACGAAATATACTACTGGGTTCTTAGATGTAAATTATCTGTACATGTCTACTGTAGTCATACCTTCATTTCGGTCAGGCCAAAGGCCAGTATCTTGGTACTATAACTAATATTATATCTAAATCCTTACAATTATAAAAATTAATTAAACACGAATCATAGTTTCAAAAATTTAGCATATATCTGAACCCAACTTAAATGAAAAAAAAAAAAGATTGTATATTACAAAAATAACTATGAAGGCTATTTTCATAGTTAGCTGATAACTTCTTTATAGGGTCTCAGGCGCCGCTGTGGTCCAGGCTGCAGGGTTTTTCTCCAAATTTTCGGGGTAATGATGTCAGATAAGGAATTTCGCCTCAAATTTGTGGGACAATGATGTAAGTTTGAGGCTCTCCCTCCAAATTTGAGGACATTATATGGCAACGATATCAGATTGAGGCCTTCTACGTTGTTGTTAGACATGTCAAATGTCCAGGCGCTATTCGATGTAACGGCTACGTTGGCGGACCCGAGGCGCGGTCTCTTTCCCCCAAATTTGAGGGGCAATATTGTCAGTTTGGGGCATTCCCTCTAAATTGGAGGAGATTACGTGGAATTGGTGTCAGATTTACAACTTTTCCCTATATTAGGGAAATAATGCAGGAATTATGCAAGATAGAGGAGCAATGATGTCGATAAGGAATTTCGCCTCAAATTTGTAGGACAATGGTGTTAGATTGAGGCTCTCCCTACAAATTTGAAGACCTATTATAGCATCGATGTCAGTTTGGGGCTTTCAACGTAGCTGCAATTGTTAAGGGCAACACTGTTCTTAGACATGTCATAATGTGTCGTTACATGTTGTTCTTAAATATGTCAAATGTTCAGGCGCTATTCCATATAAAGGCCTAGCTTGGCGGACCCGAGGTGCGGTCTCTTTCCCCCAAATTTAAGGGACAATATTGTTAGTTTGAAGTATTCCCTCCAAATTTGAGGGGATTACATGGAATTGGTGTCAGATTTACGACTTTCCCCTATATTGGGGAAATAATGCAAGATTGAAGAAGGAGCAATAATGTCAGATAAGGATTTTCGCCTCAAATTTGTAGGACAATGATGTTAGATTGAGGCTCTCCCTACAAATTTGAGGACCTATTATAGCAACGATGTTAGTTTGGGTTTTTCAACGTAGCTGCAATTGTTAAGGGCAACATTGTTCTTAGACATGTCAAATGTCCAGGTGGTATTGCATTCAACAGTTACGTTGGCGGACCTTAGGTGCGGTCTCGGGCGGTCTCATTCCCCCAAATGGGGAAATAATACAGTAATTATGCCAGATTGGGGGTGACACTTTATATAACATATTATACTTTTTAGATAAAATCTGATAAAATTAATCAGCCACTTGTGAGAGTAACCTGAACTATCAAATGATAAAATATTTAAACGTTACAGTAAATTTAGAATAAACGCTATCACATTTTTACTTGATTAATAAACTAAAAATAATTATTTAAAAAAAGCAATATAATTTTGTAAACAGAATTTGTATGAAAAGGAATTAAGTTAAGGTTAATTGTACTTCATTTATGTTTAGAATATACCGCTTTTAACATTTTTCCTTTATTGAAATTATAAAAAAAAGTTAAACATTGAATTAATGAAAATTATACTTGGTTTACAATTACAATAATTCGCTTTAACATTTTCCATTGTTGTAAACGTAAAATTATTTTTTTAAATGTTATCATTTCATAAACTAAGATAACAAAGTAATTAATATTAACAATAAAATAGAAGTCATTTTAACTCATAAAAAGTTATTGTAATAAATGTTTTCTATTCCAAACAATTAAATAAAAATAACTTGTAAGTAGAACAAACCGCTTTAACATTTTCATTTGTTTTCACTAAACAAGTTTTACACTAGATTTTAAAAACTGTAAAAAAATAGACAGTTCAGTAATTTATTGATAGTATCTACGAAAGACGAAATCTTTGTAAATAATTACAATTCTTAAACTAGGTACGATTATATAAGTATGGTCATATAAGTATGATTAGATTATAAGGGGCCATTCCTGTTACGTCACACGATTTTCATTATTCATGACCCCATATATCCCCCCCCCCACCCTCCCTCCCTCCCAACCACACCATCCTTGTCACATTTATGCGACTCCCCTGATCTATTCTGATGTCACCTGTTTTATAATATTACAAACAGAAATTATTAGATCGGGAAACAAATAAGTTTTGAAGTTCGTTTTATTGTCGTTCAAAATATTTATTATTAAATTTGAAATTTATGGCCTTCCAGGCCTTGTCACATAATTTCACTAAATATGACATTATGTGACAGCATCCCTAAATGTGTGACGTAATTTATGAATGACCCCTAATGACTTAAGTTACGACATTACGGTGATATTTTATACCACATTAAGCTCCCAAAAACTATAATATTAGTATAATAATACATAAACATTCATAGCGAAATATCGAATAACATTATTTCGTTACTACTGCGCAAATTGAATTTTAAAATGTACTGTAACTGTATAAAGATTTCAAAACTATTTAATGATAAATTCGAAAGAATAAACGGAATATTCACCAAAGATTATATTATAAATGAAATTAATTTTGATGAGTTAATCATTGTGAAATAACATACAAGTTATGTTTCATGTGTTTATTTTTTTAAATAAAATAAATGGTTTTTATTTCGTGTAAGACTAATCTCAGGTACAATATACGAATAATAGAGAAAGATTAAATCTACTTACCATCCGTGTAATCGGCAAATAAACAACAATTCAGCATGATAATCTATTATGAATGTAATAGGACAGAAGAGTTATAGGCCATCGATAGTTCACTACGCAACAACAACTTGTTAAATATTTCACATCAAATGCAATTACTTGCCTATTTATAAACACCTATTAATAATTAGTGAAAATCTGGATAGGTGCAAATTAATCAACAATTTGGGAATAAATATGCAATTAACATTAAATAGCTCGAATTGTTTTTAAGTAAAAATACATAATTGATGGTAACAAAATAATGTATAAAATAGAAAGAGTGAGACCAATTTGGATGTAGTAGTAAATGTAATAATTCATATAAATAATATTTGACATAAAGAATGATCAACATATTTTAACATTAAACAATATTAATACAACTTTAAAATTATAACTAAAAGTTAGGAACTAAATAAAAACATTAAGCACAACATAATATATGAAAGGGCTTTAAAAAAGTAATATAAAATTATACCAAGTAAGTAATAATTAGAAAGGTTTGGCATCTTCCTGCTTCACAAGCCCCATTTCTTGCAGCATAGTTTCCAGACCTTCAGGCATACGACCCTGGTCTAGCTCGAGATTCCATTTGTAATACTGAAAATTAAATACTATATCTCAATACATGCAATTAAAATAGAATTTCTAATTTGGTAATAATTATAAATTTCTGAGATGGGACAGTCAGAGGTATCGCAATTATTGAGGACGTGAACTTCACTCTCTCGTCACTTCATATAGCCACATTTCGCTTCATATAATTTAGGGTGAGCCTACAACCGCCACTCGAATTAATTTGGTTTGTTATCGCTATTTCTATCTCCGAGTCTGTCAAAAATTTAAATTGACACAAATTTTTTGTAGTCGGCGAAACTTGACTAATTTGAACTCACCTTTTGAAGCAGATAGACCACCTGATCAAAAGTTACCTCCTTCTTAGATTACCCCGAAGCCTATAGAATTATATCTATGATCAACACCAGTAACATTTCAAAATATACTGTGACAACACTACATAGCGTTGTCAGGTAACTAGAAAATCTCTGGCCAGCGCCAGCGCTAACAGTTCTGTGTGCAATTATACTTTTTTCTCCCAAAAAGTAATATGAGGGCCATAGGGCCTTCATATTACCTACGATTAGTCGTCGACTAATCCCTATCAAAAATTGACTATCATTATATTGATTGAAGGTTTTAATTTAATTAATTAAAACCAATGATCCTGGCAGCAATTTGTTAAGTTTGATAACTTATAAACGATATGAATACTGTAATGATTTCTTTGTTATACAGGTACCAATTGTACAAATATTCTATCGAAGATTATATTATAATTTATTTATTTTTAATTAATTATATTATTTTTCTTTCATTAGTAATTTGACTAATTTACAATATTTAATCACTTATTAAATAATTTATTATTAAATAACATTTATTTTAATAAAATACACTCACACACACGCACCCACGCTCTCACTTATGTTAGTCGATGATAATAAAATACAACATTATACAGATCATAATTTTTTTAAATGAGTTAATTTAAATCCTTGCTCTTAGATATTATACAGTATAGCATTATATCATATTTTATTAATACCTGTTCAACAGTTTAGTAGTTTAGTAAAGAAAATTAACAAACAAACAAACAGACACATTTCCGAACATTAGTAATACAAACAAAGGTCGAAAGCTAGTATGGATTAGTCAGAATTTTTTTAATATCAAACCTGTAATAATTGTGTATTTCTTACCTTATCCAATTCTTTTCTGAGCGTGAGCACGGAGCGTTCCCTGTCGGCTACCAGTTCTTCTAGATATTGATAGCGAAGCTTCTTACGTGCTCGACACTCCCGCGCCGATTGGCGGCTGCGCTCTGAAATTTATATCTGTACTGTGATTTCGATCGAAGAGTCCATAAACTATATGGGCACCTATACACATAAAAGAAAAAGGTATGATTAATTTTGTTCGTAAAGTCCTTAAACCATTTTGTCACACATAAAGGCAGGAATTCGATAAAGTGTGACGTTGTGTGACGAAGTTTATAAATTTCGTGAAAACACATTTCGAAATTTAATTTTAATTATTATTAAAAGCTTGAAAATACTTCTTCTAATAATTAATAGAATTGCAAAATCTGCGTCACAACCATAAGTAGGAGTCTCACAATTTTGACTAATTGTGACGTCATTTATGTATTGCGCATAATTATAATGGTGTAACACTTTCGTACAATTTTAAGCATTGAAAAAAAAGTTGTATATTCTTTTTGTATGTGTGTGCTTCGATAATTGATGGTGATAAAAAATAATTGAACTACTTTTAATGATCCCTTTTTTATTTAAGAAATTTTTTTGTTTATTCAACTAAGAGCAAATGCGTCGCTAGCAAATGTTTAATGTTAACAAAAAATAGCAACATTTATTGTTGCTATTTTTTATCACATATATATTTGTTTTTGCATCACAGTGGGCGCAATATTTTACAAATAAACTACATGTGAATAGAAAAAATATGCTCTCGAAGTAAAACGGGACACAAGATGTGTCTATTATCTTCCTATTATCATGATAACAACTTTCAGTATTTTCTAGTAAGCACAGCAAATTTTAGTAAGCTCCTTGCAATTTACTGTACGAAAGGTCAAGTCTCATGTAGAAAAAATTAAGAAGCAAATATGCTCATTATGGTTTCACAATGTATAAAAATATATAATAACTTCACAAACAATGTTGTTAACAATCGCATGATTCGACTACCTACAAATAACAGATATTAGAGAGACAGATAACATCTGTACCTCTTTCGATGCGCACAGCTAATTTTTGTGCACTCCTTGCAATTCACTGTAAGAGTGTATGTAACTGACTCAGTGAGAAAAAGTTCAAAGAAGCGAACATTCACAATATACGAAAATGTTATGTAAAAACGCAGAAACTTTATTTTCGCTAAGATAATCTGTAAATATTCGCTTGAACGCGTTAAAATGTCTAGGTACTAAAGTGTTACGTCCAGGGTTAGATATGTTAATACTGCTATTGTTAGTAATCTTCAGATCTTCCGCCATTAGGTGTCTCCTGGAAAACAGATTTTAAATCGTGAATCCGTCACTGCATGCATTCATATCTTCAAGTGGTGCCTCACCAGCTCATATACTGTTAGCGCAGGCGCGAGTACCACTCCATCATCTCATATTAATAAAACAGTCACTTCTCCAAATTCCACCAAGTAAGTAATTAGCTTATTTGTCAGTTAGATAAAAAAAAATAAGTATAAAAATTTTCTAACCAATCTTACCCAGCTTGGCCTTCATATCTTGTTTGTCGAGCTGCGCCTTTCTGCCCGGTCGGCGGCCGCGCTTTCCTCCCTCTCGGCGCTCCCCTCCCTCACCTCCTGCCGTGGAATCAAATACTCCCGCCGTGGAACCAAATACTCCCGCGTGTGATTCCTGCAAATAAAACAAATGCTGTTGCATGTATTGATTTTTATCGATACAGTGGTATCTGGCCTTATTTGTAGGGATGTTCTACTGAATACGGTACTGATACGAGTATTCACATAACATCACGTATATATATCGATATTGTATTGTAGTGGATTAGATAAAATCAGCAGTTGAGATTCTTACTAGTTCTCGGCCGAAATTGTTTATTGACAACTAGATTGTAAAGAATGTATAAAACGTAAACTTGCATAAGTTGTTTAAAGTAACTACAACTACAACATAAATATATATATATATATTCCTATTCTTATGTCTATGTAGAAATTAATACGTCCGCGATACCTAGTATATTCATTAGAACGACGCAATTAAGTTTAAAGACTTTTCCGGCATTATATTAACAGCATATGTGTGTATTTGCGCATATTAAAATAAGACGTAGATATATATACAGCCGAAAGACCTCCTAGTAAAGACGCAAAATATCCGAGTTCGTTGACACCGAAACGAGACGCATTGGAAAAGTTCTATACAGCCGGTCAACAGATATTTGTTGCATGCAAAAATCTCTCATAATGCTGCAACTGAAGGTACAAAATTGAAACCGTGTAGAACAATAGTTTTTGTTAATTTCTCATGTTGTCATTCACGTACCGCAGCAGAACTGTGTCGAAACAACACAGAGAATTTTTATAGTAGCCAAGAAATGCGTTGTTTTTATCCTCAGCTTCTTTATGATAAACGTCAAATATCTATTAAACTTTGATTTGACAATTTCTTTTGTCCGTATCTCCTTTAAGGTAATTATTTTCCTAAGTGATACAATACGAATAATTTAAGAAGACTTGAAAGTGAAAGATGACCTCTTTTGAAGTGAAACCATTGTTTACGTTATTATGTACCAGTCTTATTGGCTGATTAATTCCAAGATAGATACAATTGTAGATGTAGAAGTTTCTTTATCATTGTCAAGAGATCTTCAATATATTGATGTTGGTTAAACCTTTATCCAAACTAATACTCTAAGTGGAAATTTTTCGATTGGGTTTGTAATGGATAAAGTACTTAAATTTACATAAAAGTTTTTCATCATTAATACTCTACAATATCAGTAAACTGGGCTGAATTTTATTTTTAAATAAAACTATAAGAATCCTAATATAATAGCACCTGTATAACCCGAGGCGAATCACAAGTGGTAGTAAGTACAAGTACATAATTGCCATAAGACACATATGATATTTTATTTTGATTTATCGCACAAAGTCATTTCTTCTAGCCAATCTTTGATCAGCTAAGAGAAATCAATATAATATTCACATATGAGATATGAATTCTGTAATAATACATGAAGAAAGTGGAAACGATTCTAATTTAATCGCATTTGCGTAAGATCTGCATCTGGCTATTACCACGATATGGGAATATTTTATTTCGGTGTCACAACTAGAATTTCAACACTGCATCCGATAAACGTCCTAAATTTAAAATGTAAAGTGGACTCCCCTTTCCCTATTTAGCATCGCATTTGGGCGGTTGTACGCGTAGAGTCCTAAAAGCTCTTTAGAGGTCACATAGTGAGCTCGCTATGTACAGTACATGTGAAAGTAGGGAGATCACTACTGCACACTACACTATTACGCGAGCGGTCGTTTCTTCGACCTCAAAGCAATCAAGACAAAGAGGACTATTTGTAGCACCTTTTGTTGCAAAGGCTTGATAAGACTTAACAAACTAGTATTTTTTAACGAATTAAAATTCTGCTCTGATTCAATCAAGAATCAAAGTGAGATGTGTGAGATTGATACTCATAATAAGGTAAGTAAGAGGTAGAAACAAAGCCAAGGTGCATTGCATTGGCATTAAAACTCAACGCAGGCGGGTTGACCCAACCTGTAAATGCTGTTGGGTAGGCGAGCCCCTCTCCCCCCGGGTTAGGGTGGAATGCATCTATGCGCACGCCTGAAACCCAGCCATTTCGGGGAGGAGCTTAAGCTAAAGCACTAGAATACTAGCTCAACATGTCGATCTGAAAATTAAAATCTATAAATATATTTTAACTATTAATATTTTGTTATCTTCTTTCAAATTAAGAAATTAGCTTGAAAGAAAAAAACAGAATAGTTTATTAGTTAAAATGGTTTTTGACAACTTTTGACGTTATTGCAAACCGGGGAGATATGTCTTTGTCTCGTGCGACTAACGATTAGTGCAATATAGACCAGGTCCATCAAATATAGATGGGCATAGAAAAATACCAAAACGTATACGTCTCTAAAATAAATAAAAAATATTACACACATAGGGCCGACCATAAATTACGTCACACCAAATAAAAACATTTCGTGTTTTAGTACTTAAATTGACTATATATCTAAGATTTCTCCCCACCCTGGAGTCCTCTATAAAATCTGGTAAGATAGTAGGGTAACCCCCTTACCAGATTTTTTTATAAAATATACTCCTCCAACCTTTTTAACAAAGGTTACACTGTCTCGCGGCCCCCTCCCGCCTCCCTTAACATAAGACATAATTTGTTGGTAACCCCCAATAAAAATTAAGGATAATGAGAGATCGGTACTTACGGATATAAATTGGGTTTAAAAATGATGACAAAAATTATGTAACAAGCCACTCCAGCCATAAAATGATAAATATGAGTATGAAGTTCACGGTACTTGTCCATACCGTCAAGAGTGCGACTGATCAACTAAACTGCACCGCGTCGCGACGCCGCGTCGGTCGTTACTGCGCATTCGCGGCGCAATTGCATCGATGCACCAATTTCCAGGGCGCAGTTAGACCGAGCTATCATTACTTTATAAGAGTATACATAATTGTACATCTACAATGAACCTCTGATCAATAGATCTGATCGCTGCGTGCAATCAGGACCCCAGATATTTTTTTTACGTAATTGAAATGGCAAATAAGCAGACGACGACCTAATGGTAAGGCTTAAGCGGTAACCTCCGCCTTTAAACATGACAGCATTACGGACATCACATTATCATCTGATACCCGTGAAAACATTCATTCCTAATAATTAAGATGTCATGTCTTTTATAATGTAATATCACTGCCCAATCTCATCATACCATCTAAAATCAAAACAACTTACAAAGCAAGGTGCTTGGCGGTTGGTATATGTGAAACAGAATTACCCACGAAGACGGTTTTTTACTATTTACCTAGATTTTTAAACAAAAAAAATAAAAATGGATGATAATTCCTTTTAATTTCCGTTACTTCCGGTAAAAATTGAGTTTTTGTTTGTACAATTTAAGAAAATGTAATAACAAAAAAAAAAATATGACACACTGCGTTAACTCTAAATCTGATTATTATCTGAATATTCAATCAAGTCTGTCAATTCAGTTACTCCGATCCATTCCAGTCAAATTCAAACGAAGATCAAAATTACGACGGCCTGTGCAAAGGTCTGAACTTTTTAACGGTGTTATTCTGATGTATTTAAGCTGTATTACTGTAAACTTTCAACAAAATTCATTCAATATATTTTGCGTGAAAGAACAACAATCATGCATCCATCCATATTCAATAAATAAGATTATAAAAAATTACAAACACGAAAGCGTATCTGTCTGTCTGTCGCTTACCGTATAATGGATACACGTACACATGGAACAGACTTAATGACTTTTATACGAAGATATACTTACCACGAGGACTGTAGAGAGTGAGTTAAATAAGGGATGTAATTTTGTGCAGACGAGGTTATGGATAATAGTTTAAGATAAGTCAACATCATTGGTGGAGGGATTATAGTATATAGTCTGATATAATCAATTTATGATGATTATAAAGTACTCTGTGCATTTTATATAAACATATATTGCAAAATGGCGGGAACAGCCAAACTAAATTTAAGATATGTATTTCATAGACAATATATTTTATTTAACGATCATTAAAATAAAACAATATCGATTTAACATAAACATATGTGTATTTAAATTTCATGATAAAGAATATTTGTTTATTTTGAAAGATACTTTCAGCAGTTGATCTTTTCGATATTTCTTTTAAATATTACTATGTACCTATAACAAATGCTTGTTTCATATGTGTATGTACATAGTAGTATAAAAAAAATTAAACGGTCTTACATACTATTTAAATTTCTAAACAATATTCAAGTTATTTATCGCTTTATTATCTAGGTAGGTATATAGAAGATATGGATTCTGTTTCGTAATTTGTTATTCATTGAAAGCCTACCATCAATTTTATGATTCTTGTCGCCTAGTTCTAAGTAGATTTTTATTACTCTTTTTTCTATTTATTTCTCTTCTGTTGTGTTTAATTTCTCATTATATTCTTCAGCTACAATTTGACAAATTTTTAATTTTAATTGTTCAATTTGTTTCTCTGGATGACTAAGTTGCGCCTATTATAATACATTTGTATTCAATATATTAATTAATATATATATTTCTTTTTAATTCAATTATAATACTTAATATTGTGATTTTGCATATTTTTATGTTCTGTTTTATGACTCTTGGGTTCATGATAGAACGCGAATGTTATACATTGTTTGTGTAACACTTCATTATCAGAAACATTTTTCTATATCGAATATATATATATATATATATATATATATATTAATTAATGCGCTATTTACTACAACCGAAAATCTATTAAATATTAGTGCTCTAATGCATCACAGGTAATCGACTTTTAATTTGAAATTATTGGAATATTATATACAAAATTGAGTCGACATATTTTATATGAATAATATAGGGACAAAGATTTAGCGCGACCGGCTTTTTTAATTGCAATAATTTCACTTATATATGTGTAATGTAAAATGTACACAATAAAGGAAACAATTACTTGTTATGTTTATTGAATTGTTCAATTGCTATGCGGTATTGTGTAATAACAAAACAATTAATACACAATAAATTATTGTCATCAGTACCATGACCTACCACGACGTGACACGAGATGTCCGAGATACTCGATCACTT